AAACGTACTAGAAACTGTTGCATTTTTGCGTGCCAACTGGTAACTAGTTGTAACTGTAAAAGACTGTTCAATGTCTGTTAACAATCTGTTATCAACACAGGCAACAGATACAATCGCAGATAATCGCCATTTTGTTGCCTAGATGTCAAACAGATAGTCTAGTAGTCTTGCTTGCAAACAGTCTGCACGTATGCACAAACAGACCTGCTTAGCATTTGCTGGCAATCTGTCGTCAATGCGTTCCACAGATCAACCCGACTGCAGTCACCGTTTTGTCGTAAACAGATGCTGGTACGGTTTTGCGGACTGTTTGGTCACAGTATTACTAAAAGCAGATCTGCTTGCAATCGACCATCTATTTGTTGTCAATTTCACTGACATATATGGAATCGTTTTGGCCGCAATACTCTCATGTATTTTCCACCAGAGTTGTTTCTCTATGCGTTTTTTCTCTATGTGCTAAGTTTTGGTAGCACCAAAGCATGTTTTTGTATTGTAGCGTTTTTGCAGTTCCTGTTGCCAAGGTCTGCGCAGTCAGAAATTGTTTGCTGGGTATATATATTATATTAGAGATCTGTCAAAAATGTGTGTGCACGCCTATGATACTCGGTAAACAAAGTATTAATAATTTGCAAACTGAATGAAATTCGAGCAATGTATTACCATCTATTAAATTAATTTATGTTTTTCCAACAATTCTGTTGAAATTATAAGTTTTAACGACAGATCTGTCATAATTCTTTATAGTTCTACAACTTACTAATTTCGACAACTTTATGTTATAAAAGACTGTCTCTGACAGTATAAATTTAGAAAGTAGTCAACAGTAGCAAACGCTAAATGTTCATTCTTCAACATTACCATGCGTTAATAAAAACACTTCTGAGACAGAAGATAAAGCAACACAACAAAAAGAACTTTATGTTACAAGAGACATCTCTGATACGATAAATTAAGAACATGATTAGTATTAGTTGATTGTATTAGGACGTTGATTGACACAAGAAATTTTGAACATAGCCCGAGTACATTGATTGTAAATGTTCATATTATTTAATACACTACCACACGGTAACAAAAACATCTCTCGGACAAAAGTAAAGCTTTATGTTACACGAGACGTTTCAGATACAATAAATTTAGAACAAAGCTAGAACATGTTACTTGTAAATGCTTCAAAATAATTATTCTATCAAAACACGTTTAGAAAAACGCTTCTGAGCCAAAGAAAAAATAAAGCAACTTTACGTCACAAAAGACATCTCTAGTACAATATTATAGTAGAACATAGCCAGCAAATGTTGCATATCAAACTTTCATATTTATTAGTACACACGTTTTTAAAAGCACTCCTGAAAGACAAGACAAAGCAAGTTTACATCACAAAAGACGCTTTTGTAAAACTTTAAATTATAGATAGCACACTTTAACTAAAAATATTTGATAATAATTATTACTTCAGCACACGTTTACAAAAACGCCTCTGGATAGAAAGACAAAGCAACTTTACAGTCAAAACAAATGCATCTGATATTGTTTTATTTTAATATTGTATTATTTAGACAATAATCAGTGTCCGTGAGCTCACACGGTTCTCGCTTGTGGGTATATCCCCACCGCTTCGACAGAACTTATCTAGTAGAGGAGATTGGATGGAGCGGACGGACGATTCCCCTTGCCCCTCGCGTCTGTTAGCTTGTGGGTAAAGCGAATTCTTGTGAGCTGTCAATAATACTAATCTAGTACGCTACCGCTACGCTACACGCTCTTCGATTAAACAGCCTATTTCTGGCCTATTTCATATCTTCATAAGGTACCTCAAAATTTTCAAATTCGATTTTCTCGCGAATGCTTGAGTAGTGCGTCTTATTACTTTACCCTGCTATACTCCACATAGTCATCTATCGATCCTATAAATTTCGTGCAAATCGATTGGTACAACGTCGTAGTCTGCCTTTGTAAATCTAAAAATATGTATAAATATTGATAGACTACCATTGTCAAAGTCTTCTCAACAACAACTATGGCCAATTTTGGGATCTGTAGTACAAACAAAGCAAGTTTTTATCATTGGAGAATATTATGGCAGACAGAAACCTTTTAATTCACATGATTTTCTAAGAGAATTTATAGAAGAAACAAAATTATTAAATAATGGAATTTTTATTGATAATAAACACGTTCAATGTAGCATAAATTGTATAATATGTGATACTCCAGCAAAGTCATTTATACTGCAAATTAAAGGTTATACTGGTTATTTGAGTTGCACTAAATGTATTGGGTACCGCAAAAAATTCGTGTTGCTTTTTTCTAAAAATAAAACATAAAAATTTTGTACAAAAAAATTTAATCAATTTAATATATTAATCCATTTTGATCGATGATCTTTTGCCATCTTTCCGGTAACTTCATAATTCCGCTGGTGTAGAAGCCTCTTGATTTCTGAGCGAAAAACTCATCTAACTCATTTTTGACGGCCTCCAAAGAATTGAATTTTTGTCCATCAAGATAGTTCTGCAGAGACCGGAATAGATATGGTAATCTGTAGGAGCAATGTCGGGCAAATAATGGGCGAGATGAGGCATAATTTCCCAGGCAAACGTGCGCAATTTTTGCCGCGTCGCCAAATATGTGTGTGGTCTTGCGTTGTCGTGGTGAAAGACAACTCCTTTTCTGTTTGCCAATTCCGGCCGCTTATCCTTGATTGCCTGCTTCAGTTTGTTAAGTTGTGATCAATATTTCTTCGAATCAATAGTTTCTCCTTGCGGGAGCAATTCATAATACACCACGCCTTGCCAATTCCACCAAATACAGAGCATAACTTTCTGTGGGTGTAATTCTCTTTTAGCGACTGTTTGCGATGTTTCACCGGGCTTACGCCAAGACGTTTTGCGTTTAATATTGTTGTAAATAACTCATTTCTCGTCTCCAGTCACCAAACGTTTCCAAAAAGACTCCGATTTATTCCATCTCAGAAGCGATTTGCAGATCTCGATTCGATCCATTAAATTTTTCTCACTTAGTTCATGAGGCACCCAAATATCAAAATTTTTATCGCGTATTTCATCGCTTCTAGGTGGATTCTTACTTGTGTAGAGCACTGCTATTGATCCTCTCTGCGATCTCCTCTGCCGTCAAATGTCGATCATTTTCACTTAACGCTTTGATTTCGTCGTTGTCAACCTCGGATGGCCGTCCAGAGGTGCATCTTCAAGATCAAAATTTCCCGAACGGAAGCGGGCAAACCATTTCCGACATACTGATTCGCTTAAAGCATTGTCTCCGTACACAGCACATATCTCACGTTCGGCCTCCGCCTTTAACCCTTTCCGGTAGAAAAAAAGCAAAATATGCCGAAAATGCAACTTATTTCCTCCCATGTTTAAACACAAGTAGCGTAAACAAAACACGTCCAACTTTAATAATTTTTGTTTTCGAATGTCAAGCAAAGTCACACCTTTTCGAAACTAGCTGAAGTTGGCTACAATTGCCGCGCTTCATACTTTTGTCGCTAAGTAAACGACATGTCTTAGAAAAACGACACGAACTTTCCGCGGCATCCAATATAACTGAAGGTGATTTTTGCTGTAATAAAGTTTGTTTTCCCCAAGTAAATGCTCCATTGAGAACAGATCTAGATTTTAGATTAAAGACTGATGAAAATTTTCATATTGGAACATCGATTGTTGAAGAAATTCCAAATTTTGATCTTGTAAATAACATATTGTTAGATTACATGCATTTAGTATGCCTAGGAGTTATGCGACGTTTATTATATTTATGGTTATTTGGTGATAAACAATTTNGTTTAGAAAATATAAAATGTTAAAGCATATCATCAAACTTAGAAAACATATTAAAAGTAATTGTACCATGTGAGTTTGCACGAAAACCTTGATCACTGACTTATGTAAAATTGTGGAAAGCTACTGAATATTAAGAACTGCTTCTATATACAGGACTTGTAGCTTTTAAAAATGTTCTTCGTAGTGATATATATGATCATTTTGTAACATTACATGTAGCTATTAGAATATTATGTTCTAATGAAGTAGATTTATTTAATTATTNTCAAGAATTATTAAAACATTTTGTTATATCATTTTCATTAATTTATGGCAAACATAATGTACATAGTCTTGTTCACCTTGTAAAAGACGCAAAAAATTTTAGTTCACTAGATAATTTTAGTGCCTTTAAGTATGAAAATTTTTTACAAACATTGAAAAAACTGTTAAAAAAGTATGACAAACCTTTACAACAAATTGTGAGAAGATATATTGAATATGAAAAAATAAAGTAGCAGGAAATCTTACGACAGAAACAAATGAACATTTTATAGTAGACTTGAGATCTGTTCATTCATTTGGTCCACTAATACGTGGTTGCTCTAACCCACAATATAAAATAATAAAAAAAACAAATATGACTTTACGTATTGACGTAGAAGCTGATAATTGTTGTGCATTANTAGATGGAACTATTGTGTTAATAAAAAACATAGCATACAATAAAGATCTTAATGTAGAAGTAATAATAGGTCACAAATTTTTATACAAAGAAGATTTTTACAACATTCCATGTCCTTCATTCTTATTAAAAAAAAAAATATTCAGTGTACATAGTTTAAGTCAATTACAAATGTGGCCAATAGAAAATATTCAGACAAAATATGTTAAATTACCATCATTAGAAAATAAGTATGTGGTACTTCCATTATTACATTAATAAATTAAAGTTAAAAAGAACGTAATATATAATAATTAAATTTAAAAATGTACAATATATGTATATTTTATATAATAAAATAAATGATAATAAAACATTAGATAATATAATCAAATAAAAAAATACATAAAATAAATAAATGAAATAAATAAAAAAAATAAAAACTGCATATGTATATTTTATATTTTAATGCATATAAATAATAACATGTATTTATTTACATGTATTAGATATGTTTCTAAAATATATGTAATATATGTTTTTATGAGAATGCAGTTATGGAGCAATATGCTATAGTAGAGTTTTTTGATGGATTGCAAATGATACCCTTTTCTTGGATGACAGAAGATAAGAAATATGCNTACTGGCCTACTTTCACATCAAATAAAGCTGTGCAAAAATGTATCTCAAAAATAGATAATTGGCCGCTGCATGAAATAAAGAGGATTCTAGCAACTGCAAGTAAGTAATATGAAATGGAAGTCAAGAGGCACGGTAGTGCCTCGCGCCAAGTATATGCGCAAACGAAGTGCGCGCGACTGCGCGAGGTACCCTGTGCCTCTTATACGCGAAATTTAGCCGAGAGCCTTTTCGAGATTTTCCGATCTCAACAACGGCTAAACCGATCGAGTTCGTAGTAGACTCAATCGAAAGTTGAGATCGAGGCACGAAAAAAAGTATTTTGCGGTTTTTTTCCTCCGTGCCTTT